TGATTAATGGTTTTCTTTCATTTTTGATGTACTGCAGAATATTTTTTATAAAATCCCAGGCCAGGAAAATCACCTTCATGTTTTTCTGTGTTTTATCTCCAGCTACTTTGACTCAAAGGCATCTGCTGTGACGCTCACACCTTTGACAAAAGTCTTGCGAGTGTCAGCTTCCTTTTTATAGATACAAAAATATGTAAATGTACTGATCTGAATTATAATATTTCTGATTGCCTGAGGCAAAATTTTCCAGATTTAAATCGAATCAATCGAATCGTGGATCGAATCAATTCGGGACCTTGTGAATCGGAATCGAATCGATTCTAGAAATCAGTGACGATACCCAGCCCTAGTCGTCACCCAGCCGAATCCATTTATGCTCACTGTTACGGCACAGGAGGCGGCTGTTTTGTTTTGGTGTCCTCACTCAGATAATGTCAACACTGTGTTGCAGGATCTCGCTCTGTATAATCTGTGACTTTGAGCTTCACTATTGATTTATCATTAAAACAAAAGTAAAAACCAACATTTCAACCCTGGAGCAGCAGCAGTACAGCTAGGCCTAGTGACAGCAGCTGGTATATCAATTTGATGTCAGCTTTGTCATAATTTTACATAAATTCCTTAGGGATTAATAACATATCCTGATTCCGGTCTACCACACAGCAGGTATAAAAAGGCCCCTAGATTTCAAAGTTGAGGTGGTATCTTCACATGGAGGTTCCCTGGACCTTGGTGTTACCCAGTAGGCCATAGAAAACATACCCGTGGAAGGGTGCACTTTTTAGTCTCCAGTTCTGCCATATTTAGAAAAGTTGTGGTATTCACTGATGTACAATCACTGACAGTGAGTTGGAAAAATATTGTCAGTATTCCTGTGCATCAACTTTGTTGGGGTACTTTAATGCTCCAGTCAACACGACCTTGTTCCTTGGTGTCCTCCACCACACCGGCCAAAATGGACCAAATAATGTGAGGGGTTCATTGAGCCAGTCAGTTGCTGAAGATGGATGAAAATTAAAACGTGCTCTATCCAGCTTTTTTGTGGGTTGTTCTTGGTGTGGAGTGGTTGGTAGATACGAAGACTGTTCCAAGGTGGTTCAACAATGGGCCCAGTTCAGGAGCTCAAGGACCTGCTGCTGAAGTCTTGGGATCTTGATGGTTGTAAAGGCAATGTCTGTCAGGATATGTCTGCCTTTGTCACATGACCATCTGCTGGTTTGGGAACACCCTGGCATCCCCCAGAAGACGTTGAGAAGGTAGCCAGGGAGCTCTGCTTAGACAGCTATTCCAGCTTCTCGAACTCAGTTCAGTGGTAGAAGATGTATGATGGATGGAGGAAACCTCGCTTAATCTAAGGAGCTTGGAAAGAGACTACGATGACCTGGATGACTGAGAACCTTCAGAGACACTCGCTTTTCCAACTTTTTCGGTCTAAGAAAAAAGTATTTTTTTGCAGATTAAAAAAACTTACTGAACATTGTCTTACTCTGCTGCAGTGACAGGACTTAAATTTGAAGTTAATCTTTACTGCTTCCGGAAATATTTCTCACATTTGTTCAACTTATTAAAATAAATAAAGGTAATAACTGTAAAGGGGCCAGTGTAACGCTGTGGTGTCTGTCTTTAATGTTATTGTTTCCCAGGGATCAGTCCGACAGGAGGAAGCCTGGTAGGCCTCGGATTAGTCAATCAAGCTCCCATGTAGATCTCAGGATCCGCTTTGTGCAGGACTGGGATGTCAATGTGATTTCACCTAAAGGTAAATTTAAAACTGCTCATTCTGTGTTCAGATTTGTAACAAATGTGCACTGGTATGTATTTTTAGGGCCATACCTAAAAATTAGATTATTTAGATATGTGTTTGTTTAGGTTTTCAACTTTCAGTGTCAGGATTTGGAAAATTAGGCAAAGTTGGACAAAGTTGCCTTTAGGATTGCTGTCACTAGAGTTTTATATCAAATCTATTAAAAAAAAAAAATCTGTAGGAGCCTAATGCAGCAGTAGCTTGTAAGATGAGCTGTCTCTTTTTTCTTGTTAATGTTAGTACAGTCAGCATACTGTTCGTTGTGTTTGCCTCATGGATAACTACCTGCCTGACTATTGGAGCTTCTCTGTTTTTTCTCAGTGTATAATAAGTACCCGCTTCATTACCTGAAGTGTCCTCGAGGCCTGCAGGAGGCCGACTTTGTGGAACTGCTGAAGTCCACCTTCCCTCAGCTGGCTGCTGATAAACCTTTTGACGTCCTCACAGCTGACAGGAACAGGAGACTGCAGCCTCTAAAAGTAGAGCCATTGACTCCAGAGGAGCTGTACAGAGCCATCAAGGCGAGTGGGAACATTGTCCTCTTCGTTCGACTCAAGGTACTGCATCTGACTGGGTAGATATTTGTATTGTCCTTCAGAATGTCTGTGAAAGATCTAGATAGATTAATTGACCAAAATCAGAGCTTAAGTCCAACAAAAACTGTGAAGTAACACTGCTCTCTGCTTTAAATGTGTGTCCTTCATTCTACAAAGGTAGTGCAAATCAAGATGCAAACTGTAAATTAATAACATTCACCTCCAAAGGAAAGGTTGCATCTTAATGCTGCAGTCTGCAAAAATTTAATAATAATAATAATAATGGATTGCATTTATATAGCGCTTTTCGGGACCCCTCAAAGCGCTTTACAATGCCACTATTCATTCACTCTCACATTCATACACTGGTGGAGGCAGCTACAGTTGTAGCCACAGCTGCCCTGGGGCAGACTGACAGAGGCGAGGCTGCCATATCGCGCCATCGGCCCCTCTGGCCAACACCAGTAGGCGGTAGGCGAAGTCTCTTGCCCAAGGACACAACGACCGAGACTGTCTGAACCGGCAACCTTCCGATTACAAGACGAACACCCAACTCTTGAGCCACGAACGTTGCATAAGGTGCAACTTTGAAGGCACATGTTCTCCAGTTCTTTGCATCACATCTTTCACAATTTTACTACCACTTAGCAAATATTTGGCAAGTGTTTGCAGACAAGTTGGCTCCTTCTGTGAGGTCTACTGGCAACCAAATCAATCGTAGGACATTTTTGTTCCAGTATTCATTTCGCAAATGTTGCCCACTCAACAGCAAGTACCCTCTAGCAACCACTAACCAACCAACTGAGGTAAAGTACACTTTTCCCTAGAAACCAGTGATTACTAGTCTCTACGCCTCTGTGACTGATGCGTTTTATATTTGCATCAGAAGTCGGATGTCTTGGACTGTGAAGTCAGGGCTAGTTCAACTTGAGATGTACATTCCAGTTGAAAATTACAACTGGGAGCTCTAAAATTCTTACTTCTAGGTTCAAATGGAAATAATCATGGGGCCTTAAAAGTTATTTTGATGTATGCTCACGTACCAGAGGTTAATGTTTTCTAATTCGACTTTATGTTTTGGATATTCACGCAGGCACCTGAGGGAGTCCAAACTAGTGCGAAAAAGCTTGACCTACAGAGAAAAGTTGACGGCACTGAAGAGTCTCCGTCCTTTACCGAGCAAACTGGGCTGCACATGGGGTAAGCACCACCTGTTAGATCCAATTGTTAAAAAGTCGGAGGTTTGCTGAAAGAGTCTAACTGGACAGATGGCTTTTTATGAAACATTCACTCCCAATCAATTCATGCTCTGTGGTGTTAGAAGATGCTACACAGACACCACTTTGAATATCTCAACTCACCAGTAAACTGTTTGTCATTAATAACAACAATAAACCCTAAACTTTAAATTTCTGTTCCCACAGAAGCCCTCATCAACCGGAAGAAAATCCAGTGAACATTTTCTCCAACAGCTCAACATCACGTCACAAAGATGTGGAGCTGAAGGAATCTGAGGGTGGTTTGGAGTACACTGGTCTCTCGACCTTGCAATCTTTAATACTTTATGAACACAACGAGTTGAGTGATGGGCTTCCCAATGGGAAACCAAACATAACCAATGATCATCTGGTGAACGGTGAACCCGAGAAGACGAAAGGGAATCGACGAGTCAAACATTCAGTCATCCGAATAAAGAAGGCAAAGCAGAAAATGTTAATTCATAACAGCGAGGCTCTGCTGTCCTGTAAAGTCTGCCAGATTTTACGTGGGTCGACAAACATGCTGATCAAACACGCCTGGAGTCATGTGGACGAGCGAGAAAGGCTCTGTGGAGTGTGTGGAGAGCAGTCAGTGTCTGCAGAACAGCTCAGAAGTCATCTTCAGACTCACCAGAAAACGCACACCTGCAACATCTGCGGGAAGTCCTTCCTCACCGTCGTCGGCTACAGGGGTCACCTCGCTCGACACAAGGGAAACACTCCGTACAAATGTAGAACCTGCCACAAAGCGTTCCCTGAGAAGTGGGTGCTGAAGAACCATGAGTCCCGGGTCCATGCAGTGGATAAGCCACACAGAAAAAACTTTTCCAAGTTGAAGCTCAAACTTCACCGGCCGACCAATCATGCGGAGGGGAAGCCACACAGCTGCAATGTGTGTGGGAAGCGCTTCCGCCACCTGGATACTTTGTCTCAACATGTGGCACTTCACTCGGGTAGCACGGCAGCCACAGACAGACGGATCCATACAAAGAACCACAGCAGGGAGAGGTTGTTCGCTTGCGATAAATGCAACAAGAAGTTCTTTCACAAGTCAAACGTGGTGACTCACATGAGAGTCCATACTGGAGAGAAGCCTTACAAGTGCACACACTGTGGGAAAGGTTTCAGCCAGGGCCACTGTGTGAGAAGACACCTGCTGATCCACCAGAAGAAGAAGTACCACCAACAAACAGAGCAGCTTAGTAGGGTTGAAACTGAAGACAGTTATGCTAAGGTGGACGGCATGCCCTCTCCTCAAAAATGAAACTAAAATGTGGTGGGTGTGTACAGTACTGACCCAGAGGGGGAAAGATGTGCCTCACCCTCAATACCGACCGATCTCTGGGGAAAGTTAGCTTATAGGTTTCTAGATAGTTAGAAGGTGAGTGTTCAAGACGGCCCAGACGGTAGCGGCTGAAGTTCAAGGGATGACAGTGGTTCCTGATAACGTCACCAATGTAAGAGGGTACCATCCATTTATTCCATATTTTCTTTCACTTTTTAACAGTGGGCTGCTTTTTTTATTCTTACTTAAACTAATGGTTACATTCAGTGTTCTTTACAATGTCAGAAAGGCAACTTCTCAGGATCAGCTGAGGCCTTCGAATGCCTTGATTTGTTCAGACCAAAACTCTGAAACCCAAAGGTTATTCAGTTTACAAACAAAGTAAATATTGAGTATTTTTTGTGTTTACCAATAAAACTAGTGCTCTTAAAGCAGGTAGGGCGTTATCTTTTTTGGCCAGTATTAGATATTTGCCAGTAAATGAAAATTTAAAATAAAAAAATAAGTACATTAGTAAGTACACATAACAAATGTTATGTTTTGTGTTTCAAATGAAAAATAAAAAATATCACCTGAGATATTAGAATATCAGTTACCGGTATCATTCTTAAAACTCCAATATTGGTCAGGTTCTAAAAGTAACTTTTTGCATGTAGTGTCCACGAATTTTCCAAGTTCCTTCACTATGGTTTTTTGTTTTTGACAAAGATTCAGCATATTAAGGCGTGTTTATGCTGCTATATGCTAGCAGCAATGTGGCAAAGGAATATCAAGGAAAACAAAATAATGGTTAGCGACTCAAAGGTTAGAAGAACTAAAATGTAAGGTTACTATGGTAAACAAAGCCTAGCTTCCCTTTTTTTGGATATAATTTGAGCTGGAGGAACCTTTAGTCCTTGGAAAGATCCTGGACATTGAAGCTTAATTAGCAGTACTGCGCTGAACCTGCACCAAACCTGGAGCTGTTAAATCTTGACCAGCAGTTACTTTGAAACTGGAGAAGGACAAAAAGACTTCAAAACTGACTGAGTCTACACATGAACTGCCAGAGCTGTGAAAATGGGAGAAAAAAGGTACATTTCCACCTATTGTGTCAGCATAACTAGCATTTACGGAAGTCATGCTAATCAGTACTCCACCAAATGTTATTAGTTACTTTTCTTGAGAATGAACATGGTGCAGATTTAACTCAGTACTACAAACAAAGCGTAATGGTACAGGGAAATTAGTGTTTCTGTGACTTTTGGAGGGAAGTAATGGATTGATGCTAATCTGCAGGAAATGTTAAATATTTTTCATACACATTCAGATGATCTTGTTCTCTGTTTGCACTTTTTTTTAGATTTACATATTCTTTTAAAAAAAAAAAGTACCTCTGCGCCCTAAAGATTACATTATCTCATTGTCAACAACCCCCCTGAAAAAAAATCATAGTTGTAACTCTAGCTGTCCTGGTTTTACTACATGTAGACCCCAGGATTAATGATAACTATAGTATCGCAATAGATTTAAGTTTAGGGACTGATACTTTACAAAAAGCACTATCCATATAGTGTTCCTTAGCAGTCTAAATGGTAAATGGACTGGTTCTTATGTAGCGCTTTTCTATTCTGAGCACTCAAAGTGCTTACACAAGCACTTCTTTTTTTTTTTTCTTTTTTTTTCTCAACGCTGTATGCGAAGTGCTTTCTATCTAACATTCATACTCCGATGGATGCATCAGAATATGAACGCGGAGTTAGTATATTTCCAAGGATATTTGGCATGCAGATGGGAGAAGACTGGGATCAAACCATTAACCTTCCAGTTAATGGTTTGTGGTCACCTGCTCTACCATTTGAGCTACAGCCATCTCAGCCAGTCTAGTGTCCACAGTTTTCAAATGTTGTGTGATGGTAAACACCAATAACAACCCAACATCAGATCAAGGTCACACCAAACTTGAAAATCAGCGCTATGTTACCCACGGTTTTTTTTGTTTGTTTTTTTAAGATAGTCTTCAAGCCTTGCAACAATATACTAGGCCTTGAAGGTTAGCAAACCCTTTTACCTTGACCTTCATGGTTGGCACTCAAGGTCAAAGTCTTCTTAAAAAATTTCTTCAAGAAACCATACCGAGTATGATTGTATGATTTATGTTTTCTTTTCTTTTTTCCGTTATGACGCCATAGCAGACACCAGCGTGTTTTAATAAAAACATCAAACATAAACATTGTAGTATATAATCCTCACTTTTTGGGAGGAGTTGCGCTCTCTGAGTGCTTTGTTAAAAAAAATTAAAAATTACATTTTTTAAATGTTGCACGTGTTGTTGATACCAGTAAAGAAAACATTGCTGCATTGAATACTTTCCAATTCCAAAAGTTTAATTTCCATATACCACTGCTCATTTTCTATGGGCTCAAGTTGTTTTCAAAAATATTTTGTGCATGTAAATCAAATGCGTAGTTGTGAACTGAGTTTTGTAACCTTGTAAACCAAAATTTCTGAAAATGTTATGGTTGTGCGTCTATACAGGGTGGGCCATTTATATGGATACACCGTAATAAAATGGGAATGGTTGGTGATATTAAAGTCCTGTTTGTGGCACATTAGTATATGTGAGG